CTTAGGGACGAACGTAGCTTTTCCAACGACGTGTTACTGGCGCGTAACATGACTCTATGGAACCTAACCACACATACAAAGAGCTGCCACAGGGCACTAAAGAAAGCAGTTAACAGGAACCGTTAAACGGTCCACAAAGCTATCAAAAGGTTATGATACTTCATCTGTCTCGTCCTTAAGTTTTGCACACCAGTGTAGTTTCACAGAATGTCATACGGCTTATGAAGCAGCTTGCGTGGCCACCTTGCGTACATTAAGGTTATTGGTTCACCTTCCGAGACGAATCTGATGCCGATTGGTCAACCAACAAAGGATTGAAGACAGGTGGTCGGGCGATCCAAGACTCCCCTCCCCCCCCCCCCAAATGTCAGATTCATAATGATGTCAGAAGTTTATGCTGGCTCCGTTTTTGATATTCGACTTCAGCCAGTTTTATTTGACTTCTGAAAAGTATCCCTTCCCTGAAGGTGTTCTTGTATAGTGCTTGGATTACTTTTTGTATTTTATAATAGGCAGTTACTTATTGAACATCTCTCGCTACCCGACCATGTACATGCAGTGGTCACTTGTTGCTCTGCAGTTTTTTGAATACCAGTAACAATATTCAAATCCCTCGGCTTCTTATTCTAGGGTCTCAACCCATGACAGCCTTGTTTGGATATGAAACGGGGATCTTTGGCTTTTTCTCGGTCTCGTGGCTGTCATGAAATGGACTGCCTCTGTCCAATGAAGACGGAACGCCCCTTTTGCTCTCAGTGAACTCGCACATTCCCGCATGAAAACGCATGAGGGAATTTCGGCTTAAAGATGTTCAGCTTATTCTTTTTCATGTGACACATTAGAACGCAATAAATTCGAATAACACATTTGATAACATGATGATTCTTGTGCTTTCTTGAAATTGCTCTTCAGCTTTGTTCTAATTTGTTTTCAATTATTCGGAACATTTGACTTGATTTAAAAATCTTATAAATTGTGTTAGAGATCACAAGGAAAGAATAATGCAGTAATGTAAAGTAAGTGCTGTAGTTTGCCGTCAAAATACTATTTATATTTATACAATTGTAGTGATGACTAACTTTTCCGACTTTTTTTTACCAAGCTATTGAACACTAAATATATTGAATATAAACACTACGTAATTCATCTGTGCGCATTAGTTGGCCCTTCGAAGTATTTGAAAGCCATAAGGTCAGAGTAACATGCTGCTGAACGTTCGTGAACAGCAACAAATAGCAGTTCTTTTTTTTTCAAAAAAGAAAACTGCATTTTAATAACCTAAAATCTAACCCTGTTACTTTTGAGAGTACATAGGAAAATATGAAAAAAGGAAAAAAAGGCTATAAGGATCTTTCTAAAGGGCACAGAGTGAACTCCTTCCAGCTGCTGTCGTGACTTTTGTGACGTCGGTGGTTCACTCACGACACAACCCCCGCACCCGTTCTCCCCTGCCCCATCCCCCATCTCTTGCATACTATTTTTACTTTGAAGAAGGGTGCCAAAATTGGTGGGTTGAATGGGTTTACTGCGCTACTGCAACATCAAGTGAAGATCGCTATTTTTAAATTCTATCCACTCCTTCAATCCTTCCTCACATCAAATAAATCCTTCATTACTTGGAATTATTTTTGAGAGTTCATTTTGTTTCATTGTTCCGCTTGGCAGAATACTTCATTTTTGAAGAAGTTCCACTCCTGCAGTTCTTCAATCTTTACTTACTGTCATGATTTCTTTAATGAGAGATACCCAAATAGCGCTAGCGGTCAAAAATGTTCACCAACGGAGTTTTCACGCATTACTTTCTTCTTTCAAAAAAGTGGTAAAGATGAGCAGGAATTTTTTTCTTGTATGTCTTCGAGTCTCTAGGATTCAAGAGTACCCAAAGATTTACCTTATCCAATACTCGAAGCAAATTCCAGAAGGGATTAAAAATAATTTAGGAGAAACTGTTGCGGCAAATACTTTCGACAACTACTGTGAGAGCAACTACCGTGATAGATCAGTTTTCTCCTGAAATCGCATCCGAAAAATTTCACGCTGTTTTTTAGATCGGCTTCTCGTGCGAGGCCCAAATTCTTTGATTCTTGAACTTGCTGAAAGTTTGTCTTGCTTCCCGTATTTAGAGCTACAGCAGCTGTCAAAAGTGTTTGCCGAAACGGTTTGTTCTTTGCCAAAAAAAATCATTGGTGGCCTTGAAAATCTTCTCTTTTGAACATCCTGATTCTTCAAGGCTTGAGGAATATAAAACACTAGAAAACATAGTATATCAATCTTTGGAGGGCGTTGCTCAAGCGAGAAAAAATGCACTAAAAATCGTTTCGGCAAACACTTTTGACCTGCTACTGTATGTATTACGATATGTAGGGTAATTGTGCTTCTGGAACCAGGAGATCACTTACTGAAATAGTTCTCATTGAATTGTTTTGGAACATTCTGCCTAGGTGAGTTTCTGTGTCACTGAGCGAAGATCCATCTGGGTAAAGGTAGTTTGGAGACATGCCAGGTACTGAATTCGGCTTTTATAAACCTTTTCAGCAAAATTGCGCCTTGTCCACTCATTTGCATTCCATAATGTCCAAATCCTCCCCCAAGCCAATCCAGGAAATCGGATCTAATCTGCTGTTTTAGTGGGCTAAATATGCTTTGCTATGCGGCAGGTGACAAAGAATTGATAGCTTTTCGGCTGAAACCTTTGAACCGACTCATGGGATAAATGTCTGAAGTGGAGATAATAAACTAGAACGATTCTCTTAGGCCTCTTCAATAGAACATTCATTTCATTGGCAGAATAATTAACCAATTCATTAACGCCCGTCCACGTTGGTTTGTTAATTAGATAAACATTCGCTGGTCCCAGTCTCTGACCTCGTGCTGCCCATCGCCACCCCCGATAATCCTTGCTTTTTATGGAACCCAATTCTCTAGCACACTTTTCAGTGTAGAAGCACGCTAGATCATTCGCAATCAGCTGAACATATGACTATTTCACATGAAGTGGCTCTCTCAAAGACACGATTTGGGATTGAGCACACTCGGTTGTTCAGCCCCGATCGTAGTAGACAGGCAGACAAGCGTTGATGTCGCCCTCTTTGCGGGAAAGTGCGCGACAAAGGCGCTAGAAGCTCGCTCGACCCGCAATCCACACCTTCGTCCGCAAGCCCCGCCTTCCGCTGTCGGTTGCCACGTGACGCTGCTTGAAAAGCGCGGGCGCAGTTGCGGCAGCGGTTGCATTGCGGTTCAATGTCATTGGCACTGGAGCAACTGGAGCTAGGTTCGTGAAACTCGTCCAACGCGCCCCTTCTCTATCCCAAGGTGGAATGCGGCTGAAATAGAGGGGTCCTTATTCGGGGCGTAATCGGGTTTTTTTTGCTCTTCTTTTTTCCAGACCACTCTTCACCTCTAGTACCATTGTAACATCTTTTCTGCGCAGGAATTTTTAGTTTTCCCGCGGCATGCTTCAACCGATTTAACCCTAATGAAGCTTCACATGAATGGGCTGGGTTGTGAAATTCTATTCCGCAGGTATAACTTCGTATAATGTATGCTATACGAATTCTTGTGAAACATTCGCAACGCGAACTGCGGCGTTAAAACAGCAGTTAACAAACAAAACAAGTCAAAATTCATTGCTAAAGCTTTCAGCCTCGCGGTCATTGCCGATATCGGCTAACCGGCTCAACACGTTAGACGTGTGAGTGCTGAAAGCTATGGTACGTATACCATGAAAAGCTGAGTTGGGATGAAATGGTGCCCCGGTAGCGTAACTGGTAGCGCACTTGCCCGGAAAGCGAGAGGTGCGGGTTCTAGTCCCGCCTGGGGCGAAAGTTTTGTTCACAACCCAGCATTCTTGTGAAACATTCGCAACGCGAACTGCGGCGTTAAAACAGCAGTTAACAAAACAAAACAAGTCCTAAATGAAAGCGGTAAGTCCACTGTAAAGAAATTCGTTTTGTCCGGAAAGGAGGAACAATTGGAGCAAAGCGCTTGTGTAGCCAGGGAGGCATTTTGCTGCAATAGTTCGTGGAATATAATATATTATATATAATATATTATATATATATATATTATAATATATATATATAATAATATATAATATATATATAATATATATATATATATATAATATATATATATATATATATATATAATATATATATATATATATATATATAATATATATATATATATATATATATATATATATATATATATAATATATATAATATATATAATATATAATAATATATAATAATATATAAATATAATAATATAATATATATAATATATATTATATTCCAAGCTCCTTAGAGGTTGAGTCAATTCTTTTGTGTCAAAAGTTTGACATCGTAAGACGATAAATCCTTCCATAAAACGTCAACGTTCATTGTCGCGCGAGCGGCCGTTTTTTTCAAGTCCTCGTTGTCTATCTTTCTTTTCTGAATTTCTACTTCAATCTGACACTTCAAACACGTTCATTTTTGTACTCTGTGAAGTTTCTGTCAGATTCTGATCGTTTTTTTTCCCGTGATTTGCTGTCTCGGTGTTTTTCTTTCATTGTTTGCGTTCAGATTTCATTTCGATTGATTATAGGTAGATCAAAGGCATAAATGGCCAGAAGTGGACGTAGTACTTACTAAGAAGACTATCTCTGGGGACACAAATCCGACTCAGGGTGATGTAGAGGCCTCTCCTGAGGGGTCTGGAGCACAGCCCCCGATCGGATCTGGAAAAAATGAGCGCGGTGGATCTCATCAAAACAATCATTGATCGTAACAAGGATCCGCTCATCGAACCGCTCCTCCTTGCACTCTCTGAGAAAATTCCCAGAGAGCTTTCGGAATCAATTGAAGGTGAAAAGCGGGCCCGGAGTATTGTAGTTTCTGGACTAGATGAAGCGCCCATCGACCTCCCTCCATCTCATCGGCAGAGAGGCATCTCGAGAAATAGGTTCGAAATTCTGGATGCTTCACTTAGAAGTGCGACCCTCTGAGGTTTATAGGATGGGTAAGATGGACCCCAAACGTCCCCGTCTGGTCAAAATCGTCCTGCCTGCTACCTCACATTGGCGTACAGCACTTGCTAATGCTCGACTGCTCCGGAGCGCTGGCTTTCCCCAAGTGTATATTCGTAAGAGTATGACACTTGGGGAAAGACAGCGCGATTTCGAGCTCAGGCAAATCGCTCGGGATCGGAATAAAGGTAGCACTGTCAAGCAGTGGGTGGTATATAGGGACCAGCTCATGCGTGTGACTGATCTCCCTAGCAAAAGCTCGGGACCAGTGATTTTGCACGGTTATCCTGCATTGAGCTGCTATCTAATCAACGCTCGCAGCCTGGTTAACAAGATTTTTCATCTTCATTCGTTCATTAATGAGGTTAAACCTGACTTAGTGTTCATAACAGAGACTTGGCTCACAGGAAAAGTATTGGACTCTGAAATTCTTGATACCCTCCCCTATTACTTTCACCGCTTCGACCGTACTCGCCGAAAAGGTGGGGGTGTCTGCTGTTTTGCCAAAGGTAACCTTCAAATTGAGTTCGTTAGTGCCGTAAAAGCTGGGAAAGCTGACATGCTTTGCTTAGACCTTTTCTCCCCCACAAAGTCCGCTCACATCCGTCTCATTACTGTATACCGTCTCGCCTAACTCTGCTATCTCCGATGATGGGTCCTTGATTGACGCGCTTCAAGACCTCGTTTCGGCTCGTGGTAACACGGTTATTGTTGGTGATTTCAACCTCCAAGTCGATTGGAGTACGCCTTCTCCACTGAACTCATCGGGCCTCACTTATCTGAACTTTTTCCGAGAATGTGGTTTGACTCAGTATGTTAAGCAGCCTACCCACGGTGACAAAGTCCTTGACATAGTATTATCTACCACTGACATCATTTCGGATATTTCGATACTACCTCCTCTAAGTACATCCGATCATGCCATTGTCTCGTTTAAACTCCTGGAGAAATCAAGTAGTCACCCAGTATACCCTGTTCCCGATTTTATTAATGCTGATTTCACTGCTTTGAACAACTTTCTTCCTTAGTATTGATTGGTGGGCACTTTTTGATAAGTACACCTCAGTGGACGATATATACCGAAGATTCTGTCAAGTTGTTTACTATGCGCTGTCCTATTGCGTTCCATTTAAGATCCGCGGCACCTCAGGCCCTAAATATCCCCGACACATTAGTAACTTACTGCAGCAAAAACAGCGGCTCTTTCATGAGCTAGACTCTCCTTTAAGTGATTTGCTTTACAGAAAAGTCTGTGATGATGTTGACAGGCATTTGAAAAAGTTCCTTTCCAACTACGAGCGCCGTCTTGGTTCCCATGCATCCCTACAGCGGCTTTTTTGGTACTATCGGCACAAGACGAAGCCCAGGTCTTTACTTCCTACACTTGTTGGTAATAGTGGTGAAGTATACCGTAGTGATGAAGAGAAGGCAGAAGCGCTTGCAAAATATTTTTTCAGTGTCTTCTCATCGGACTGCTCAGTAGATTCCCATATAGATAGTCTTCCGTACATTACAAACTGCTGTAGCGACTGCTTCTTTCATCCCGATGCCATTTCTTCCATCCTCAAACAACTCAACCCATCCACCAGCGAACCATATGATGGGATTCCCCAAATAGTTTATAAAAAATGCCATCGTTCCCTATGCCAGCCTCTATCCATTATGTTCAATCTTTCCTTTATTTCGGGTGACCTTCCACAGGTATGGAAAGATGCAATTGTTACCGCCATTCAGAAGACGCCCAACTCGAATCTACTGAGCAACTTCCGACCGATTAGTCTCACCCCTACCCCAATCAAGGTGATGGAGAAAATAGTCTACGAAAAACTCCTTACCATGGCGTTCAATGGTTTCATCCTCGTCCTAAAAGAGCAGCAGCGTTCGATTCACGTGCCTCTACTGTCACAAATCTCACCGATACCCTTTATGACTTTTCAAAAGCTTTAAATTCTGGCAAGTCTGTAGATGTAGTCTACATAGACCTTTCAAAAGCTTTTGATAAGGTCTCCCACCAGAAACTCCTCTTCAAACTCGAAAGGATCGGAATTCGAGGAAAGCTTTTGGCGTGGCTTACTTCTTACCTGCGCTGCAGGTACCTCACAGTTCGTGTAAAAAGTGGTTACTCTAAGCGGTATCCTTGTGTCAGTGGAGTTCCTCAGGGAGGAGTTTTATCACCTCTTTTGTTCCTGATTTACACATTGGAATTACCCAACCTGCTTAAAACGTCATCAGAAATCAAAATTCAGATGTTTGCTGATGATATTAAGATCTATGCTGCTTATAACCTGGATAATAGTGATATGATTCATGATGCTCTGAGGGGATCTATTCAGAGAATGGCTGATTGGGCTTCTCAGTGGAATCTTCCCCTTAATTTGAGCAAATGCGTGGTCATGCACATTGGTGATACTCATCCCGTGGATTACTACATCAATGGTGTTAAACTTACAATGACTGATTGCAGTAAAGACCTTGGCGTCCTCTTTGACCCAAGACTGAAGTTCTCCCGTCATATTGATCATGCTGTGGAGAAGGCGTTCACCAATCTTTTTGTTCTATTTCGTAATGTGCAGTGTTCGGATGTGAATATGCTCACCCGCCTTTACAAGGCTTGCGTGCTGCCACATATTGAATACTGTTCACAAGTCTGGAGCCCGTGTTCTAAGAAAAATGTTGCGAAAATCGAAAGAGTTCAGCGTGTATTTACACGGCTCCTGTGGTATAGACTCACACATGAATACCGTCGTAATAGGCTACCCAGTTATGAAGAACGGCTAAGGATGTTCGGGCTTAGGACGCTGCAGTGTAGGCGCGCGTTGTTGGACCTTGTCTTCTGCTTTCGTGTCCTTCGTGGAGAATCCAACTTGCATGCCAGTAAGTACTGGATCTTCAGGGCCGGCTAGTGGTAGGCGAGGTGGGTTCAATCTTTCACTATGCTTGCACAGGTAACAAAAATCACTCTCTGATGTTCAATAATATCTTTTGTCGCGGCGCTAGATGGCTTGATTTGCTTCCAACAAAATGTCTTGCATCTATCAATAGTGCTGTTTTCAAAAGAAGATTAGATAAGGTGAATCTTGATCATGTCTTTAATTCTGCTCCATAACATATTCCAATCTTTAACTTTTCAGCTCTGCGTCTAGACGGAACGCTACTTACACGCACTGACTAGCTGTCTTTACCTAAGTCCGTTCACTTCCGGCTCTCAGCCTACCTCTCCGGTTGAACATAAGGAAACTTTTGGCTTCTTAGACTACTAATTCAGTGATTTCAAGTCAATCAAATAGTATACTGTGGCTAGAGTATATGTACGGCTGCTGAACCTGCGTCAATTGGCTTCATGGGTTTTTCTTTTATCAAAGTCATTCTTAGTCACATGGTACTGCAGGAGCTCGTGAGTGAAAAAAAAATCTCTTGACTCGCTCTACCGCATACTTAAGCTGGAAATTGTTTCGTCCTGGATTGAGTGCGGGTCAACAAGTGGCCTGTTCTTTATGTCAGACCACTTGGGTCTGGGTTTTACGCCTGGGGTTCGTATTTAGATCAAGAGGTATCTACTTTGGCCCGCCCCAGAATAACCATGGTTAGTTGCGTTGCCCAGACTGGCCCGCACTCCTCCACCTCTTCTTCAAACGGAAAGAGATTGCGGTTGATGTATACTTCTATTTTGATCTATTTGACGAGCGAGGCTCTTGTAAGAGCCTTTTTCTGGTTAATCATCAAGCTCCTGGTCTTTCTTGGTACTACTGTCACATGAGTCTTTCGTCGGCAGGTCAAACTAAAATTACAATTGACGCAAGTTGTTCTCCTAGCTGCTTACCTTGTACACCTTACTACTGTTATACTTTTTTCACCTCATGGGTGAACGAATTCGTGATTCCTTTACGTTACTGTTTATTGTTTATTTCTTTTTCTTTTCTAAGTTTTGGATTATAAGTTTGATTTGTCAATTTCCATTTATCGCCAGTTATTTCCCACCACTGTTGGCGCACCTTGCGTGCAATAAATAAATAAATAAATAAATAAATAAAATAAGCACATGTAAAATGAAGAAAATGTCTATGAGAAAACAAGAAGAAAGGTTTTGTGGGCATTGGGTTTTCTGCAACAGAATCAGCCCCTCCCCTCCTTCCCTCCCCCTCCCCCCAATTAGACTGGAACGGCAGCAACTTTAATCTACCGTACTATTTCGAGCTGCAGTGCATTTCGCGTATTGATGCTTGCTCATATTTTCCCTTTAGCTTTTCCAAATCCAATTGATTTTACTATATCACTGCGTTCAATAATGATACAGCCACCTAAAATTTGTTCGAAAACTTAAAGTTCATAGAGTTTCTGAAAAACTCTCCGGATAGAAAATGTGACAAATTTCATGGCGAGTTCAGATATCAACACAAAAATCCATGTCGAAAACACTAAAAAATTTTGTGCTTATTTTTTCAGAAAAGGTCGATTTTCCTATGTTCAAAAATGATACAGCCACCCCGTGTTTCTTCGTTTAAATTCATCTTTGCTTCATGAAAATGATTCGCAGTCATCAGACTTTCACCTTAATGTTTCACCACGAGATAAAAAAGCAGTTTGTTTTTGAAAAAAGGTGAGCTGTAAAAAAAGGACCAGGAATCGTCAAGCAGTCATACTGCACGAAAATTGAGTCAAAGCTCCAATACGGTTAACAATCTTTTCTGGAATCCTGTAGGTTATGGAACAAGAAGAGCTCTGGATGTTCATCATTGCTTTTTGGTCAAGTTAAACTTCGCATTTTGGGGAAACATTTCAATTTCATCGAACAGTGCCCGGAATTCCAGTCTTCTTTCAGAATTAAACTTTCAATGGATATTGTTTGGGATGTGTTGAAGATTTCCGAGGTCATTCTTCAATGGAGAATCAAAGAAACCTTGTTTGTGAAAAGAAATTCGTTCCGAAAACTGAGACATTTTTTGCTCGAAAGTGTAGATCACCGTCTTACTTTCTGTCTGCGTTTCTCTCAATGTTTTTCGCTTCATAGGAGTCTAATGAAAGGAAAAAAACCCTAATGAGGAAGGAAAAACTCGAAAGAAAGGAAACAGAAAGTAAGACACAACAGACAAAAGAACTGATCTTGCTCCAGCGACGTGGCTACACTTTCGAGCAAAAAATGTCTCAGTTTTCGAGAGAATTTCTTTTCACAAACAAGGTTTGATTCTCCATTGAAGAATGACCTCGGAAAATCTTCAACACATCCCAAACAATATCCATTGAAAGTTTAATTCTGAAAGAAGACTGGAATTCCGGGCACTGTTCGATGAAATTGAAATGTTTCCCCAAAATGCGAAGTTTAATTGACCAAAAAGCAATGATGAACATCCAGAGCTCTTCTTTGTTCCATAACCTACAGGATTCCAGAAAAGATTGTTAACCGTATTGGAGCTTTGACTCAATTTTTGCGCAATATGACTGCTTGACGATTCCTGGTCCTTTTTTGCTACAGTTTACCTTTTTTCAAAATAAACTGTCTTTTTTATCTTGTGGGAACATTAAGGTGAAAGCCTGATAACTGCGAATCATTTTCATGAAGCAAAAATGAATTTCAACGAAGAAACACGGGGTGGCTGTATCATTTTTGAACATAGGAAAATCGACCTTCTTCTGAAAAAATAAGCACAAAATTTTTAGTGTTTTCGACATGGATTTTTGTGTTGATATCTGAACTCGCCATGAAATTTGTCACATTTTCTATATGGGACAGTTTTCAGAAACTCTATGAACTTTAAGTTTTCGAACAAATTTTAGGTGGCTGTATCATTATTGAACGCAGTGTAGAAAAGTTACATCGGTTTTGTTCCCTCTCAGTAAAACCTTATTAACCCTCAATAACCTTATTTTCTACATACAATAACCCTAATAAATTTGTAGATTCTAACTCTCGATAAGTAGTGGAACGTCACTCGCTGCAACGAGGCCAGAGTTTGAATTCGGGCCATTCAGAATGATTTAACAGGTTTTTCATCTCAATGTTTCATAGAATTTGTGCCTTCGAAAGGCTGTGAAAACCATTTCAAGTGGCTGCATGCTGCAAGTAAACCACCCTCATCCATGGACACATCGATTGAGGGCTGTGTATGTGGCACCGTGGCTTTTCTGCCCTTTGACAACATCACGCTATGCCTCCTGGACAACAATCTGGCACGGAATGTCCAAATTTCGAAACCTGTTCAGAAGAATAAATGTTTAGAAAAGCCTATAACGTTTCCTAGGGGCCCGCTAGGCTTGTACATAGGTGAAGGATTTATAAATGGCTCGGTTTTTTTTTACCGGACTGTGTTCTTATAGGCCCATTCCAACACCACAAGAGGGGGGGGGGAGGAGGGGCACTCGTCTTTATGTTAGCTGTAGCTAAAAAAATACTACAGTAGAACGTCGGGTAGACATTCATGTACATACTACCTTTATTACTTTTGGATCCATTTTCGCCCTTGAATCTTTTTAGATTGAATCCTCTCCTTCTATTCTTCTCTATTTTCTTTCGTTTAGTTTGTTTTGGTCATCATCGTATAGAGTACACTGGTGTGCAAAACTTAAGGACGAGACAGATGAAGTATCATAACCTTTTGATAGCTTTGTGGACCGTTTAACGGTTCCTGTTAACTGCTTTCTTTAGTGCCCTGTGGCAGCTCTTTGTATGTGTGGTTAGGTTCCATAGAGTCATGTTACGCGCCAGTAACACGTCGTTGGAAAAGCTACGTTCGTCCCTAAGTTTTGCACACCAGTGTATTATCCGGTCGGAACCACTATAGTGTCATAGGCCCGCCATCGGACCATTGTATACGCAAACAGCCATAATTATTGTTATATTTTTCCAAATTTTATGATTGCTCAAGTAGCGAACTTATATTTAATGTCATTTTATTACTTGCTTCATTTTGTTTCATCATGAACGGCAACTGAAGGCTTTGCAGGCTGGGCAATTTAGGTGCATTCAAAGAGAGGTGGCGAGGGATGCTCTTCTCATTTGCGCTATCATGTGTATTACTTCCGCGTGCTCTAATTTGTGCAGATCGAGCTCCACGGAAGCTCGAGCTTTTTAAGTACAGTAGTTTCCACTGAATTTAGCTTTTAAAGCGTTTCGCAAATAAAGCACAAAGCATAAACATTTGCTGTTGAGCAATCTCGATTTGGGTTGCGCCACGCATTCTTTTTCAGTTTGTACATTTCGCATATTATCCCTTCAAAAATTAAATGATATATTTTTCATTTATCTTGAAACCATTTGGATCAATTAAATGTTAGGACCTCATAAGAAGCGTGTGTGCATAAGCCTGCCAAAAGTCGTGGCCCCAAGAAGGGCGAAGCAAAAAACAAAGAAGAAGGGTTAATAAAGAGCATTAGCTGAATCGCTCAAGTAATTTCCAAAGGTTACTGAGAATGGTCCCTGTGCCAGAAGCTCGCGTTATCTTTCTGAAATGAAAATCTCCGAAAATTCGTGCTATATTATTACGCAGTGATCCACTAGAGCAAGTTTGGTGCAGTTATCTCAGGTAAATGAAGAGCTTTGTGGTTCTGGGTTAAATTGCGCCACAAGATACTGTACGCACCATCCTTGCCTTCTCATAATACAATGAAAGGTTGCCAGAAATCCCCTTAAATCCCATAGTTAAGCCTGCTTTCCTTCCTTGAAGACGCAAGTTTTTTTTTGCCCCGCCTCCCTTTTTTGCTCGAAATTCTAACGTTCTAACAAATTTTTCGAAAAGCAAATTTATAACAATAAACAACTGATTTAATACACTGTAAATATACTATATGTACAACAGCACATGCTATAGGGCTCCTTTTGCCGAGCGGAGTTATCTTCAAGCAGATTTAGAGTGGGTCCCTTTAGGGCACTTTAGCGCAGTAGTAAGGGTGTCCTTCGAGTGAAGCTTACTATTTTCATTTTCAAAATCAAAAAAATTGAATTAGAGTTCGTGAATTTGGACTGAAGGTGAAGTGGTTCAGTGGGTCCTTTTTGAGTAATTCTCTTCACACTGGTTATGAGCTGGTGCTCGCTGAAGATGGGGGAGTTTTTTCATTGTTTACTTAACAATTGCAACGAAACCTTGTGACCTCATGCTCACAGCGAGTTCCAACAATAAACCTTGCTACTGGCCATTTTCCATTTTGCACTAGCGCTGGTACGTTTCGCCATTACTGCACATTAATCACAATTATTGAAGTGTTTTTTTGACAACTCCGGTGCTCTATTCTAATTTCCACAGCAGGCAAACCATTAACAATGCTCCGCAATTGTTAGTGGCGAAGCCAGAGATCGATTACTCGTCCGGCCAGCAGGGTAACGAGACTTCTCAATCATCTATTGCGTGACCATCCGAGCCGTTTGCACAGCTCTCTGAACACCAGGAATACGAGGAATTCTATGTTTGTAATTAGTCATACATACATTAATTAGATGGGAAACAAATGTTGCTCTTCGGATGCGAAGTTACACCATTCCATCACTGCAAAGGCAGATTCTCTCTGAGCTCTTTATTTTTGTATATTTCAAATCTCATTTTGTTTCATTTATCTGCAACACTTAAACCGCTTTGGCTCACACCTGATCGTTTAAGCTTCTTTGCATGCTGTACGTAATATTATGTCTGCCGGCAAGTCGAAAGCAAAAAGTGCATGCAAGCTCCCCTCCCATTGAAGTCATTACTACACTCAAAGCCGGCCCTCGACTTCCACCCAGGACCCCCAAAGATCACCTCTACTGTCTATCGTTAGTCTATCTAATCCTGCTATTAGCACTAATTCTTAGCCATAGCCACCATAACACATCTGACGTCCCGTCTGTAAAAACAGCGAAACTCAAGCGATCTATCCAAAGGCAGACCACAGAATACCAACGTCTGGCTTCACATACGAACTTGAGTCGCCCGTACGGCCAGGAGGCAATGTAATTCTTTTCGCACTCTCTGCACATCAACATTTAGCCCGAGACCTGACTCAACTAAATTGACCAACCTTAACTCCCTATTCCTTCTTACAACTTATCCGAAAACCATTAAACCTCCTTCAGTCAAATTCTTGATCTTTGAGAGTCGTCAGCGATGATGGCCTATCGTGGTGAGACCAAACCACAAACACGGCTAGCTGCACTACAAGATATCCAGGGTTTCGCGGCTTATCGAGAACCAAGGCGCAAAATCAACGAATTCCCGTCATCTCAATGCATTGTCTATTTAAGGTCTATTTCTAGCCCAAGTGCACTAAATATATTCCAGTGCGTGACTATGCGTTAACAACACGACAACCCCACCATCACTGTCTCTCTTATTTTTGCCACAGTGTCCGAGCCAACTCTGTCCCCCTCCCTGTCTGCAGCATGAAACGCAGTAGCCTTGCTTGACATCACTGGGATCCCCTGCACGAACCCCCCCAATTACGGAACACAACAAGGAAATCTGCGTAAATCACCTAAACCATCCACATGCTATAGACTGTATGGCCCGATGCTCGACTTTTCGCCGACCCCCGCGAGCCAACACCCTTCCACCCTCATCCGCATCTGGAGACCGCCCTGAGAGACCGCTCGAAGACAGGCGCAGCTGAATCATCCCCAATATGGTCGTACCCCGCAACGCGACCCCCACCGGCGCCCGCCTCACAGCAGCAAATCCCCGCAAAAGTCATGACAATCGCCTACAGACTTGTTCACTGATTTAGTGCTCTCTGCTGTCTCTTCTTTTCTCAAAACTTAATCTCCCGCTCCTTCCTCGGCATCGATTGCAGCTGTTGGCTGTCTCCGACCGGTCGCCAGTCCTTTCCTGCTGCCCAAAGTCCCATACTATTGGCCGACGTCATTTTCTAACCTTCAGCTGGAGGCCCACTTTCATACGACCCTCGCACCTTCTTTTCCATGCACACTCGCATATGGTCATTCCCGCGCTTGAAGCTCGCCCCTTCTCGTCCCTCGTAGGATATCGCATGTGGCCTACTTTCAGTGCGCCGCCAGGACCCATAGCAGCGCACCTGCTCCGCTTCGCTGCCAGATTCCCCTTCCACTCAACCAACTCCTGGTCGTTTCTTGTTATCTGATCCCTGTTTCACTCGCGTCCCGGCCCACAAGCACCCTGCAGCATCCTCATTATTAGCCGGAGTTTTAGCGGCTGCCTCTCCCTTCCTGTTACTGCTTTACAGATCACCACCTTCGCTGCCGTAGAGAGCATCGCAATCGTTACCACCGCCACGCTCATTGCACCCACCTTCCTTTGCCACAGCCTTTCTGGCAGATCTTTGATCCACAAGGATACACCTGGATTTTCCTTCCTACACTTACGTTCCTTTCCAAGACTTTTGTCACCTGGTTCATCGACCGCGCGTGTGGTACAGTAGTCACCCTTTCCGAGCTATCATTGCCTCGCCCACCCCACCATAATGAAAAACACTGAATTCTCTATTGTAAACCTGCAACAAAGTCGTGCCTTCCACCTTTTGGTTGCTCACCAGCCTCGTTTTACTCGCCCCGCACTGCTGTAGCCGGGAAATTTCGCAGTTGTGCTGATGGTCACAACTACTCGACCCTAATGATTTCGAACACCCTATTACTTACTACGCTATCGAAGCTACTGCCGTGCTCACCATTATTGGATTCAGGCTTTTAATACAATAAAATTTATTATAAGTTAGTGTATGACTACCCTGTATAGCTTGATCAGTTATGCCTGAACTTGTCTCAAAGCACTGGCAGACTCCATTCATAAGCTTGCGTGAGTCGAGTCTTCGTGACCTTCCAGCTTCTATGAAACCGCTCCCCATTGGGATCGACCCACGGGAGCCTGTCTGAGGGTCACCCATGCTTAACAGAAGGCGCTCGCCCAGATGGAGTGAATGTCGAAAGAGCTTTGGTTGCCATCCGCACTTACCCTATTCATTGAACTGTTGCAATTTGCAGTACTGCAGATCGGGTCGATTTCCTTGTAAGAGCTAAAATTCTGGTTTTTGGCCATGCCTTCCCATTACACAGCCTGCATGAAAGTTAATTCGGTGTCCTATTTGAAACGTGCGGGGTATCTCCAACGGCTTAATTGGGAAAAGCCTTCATCTAGATTGTTGTTATCCCGCAGGCTAAACCAGCAGCTGATCAAACGCCATTTGCAGGCTAAATGTAGCCCATGCAAAATAAAATAGTTGCAGGTGGCAGTAGATTTGCAAACCGTAGTCGATGGAGGAAGAGCTTATGAGATGTCTGTAATCCCTCAATATTTTCTGAAATGCATTTATCCCAGCCAGAAACCACCTGCTATCCTTATTGGCCGGCCTTACCTAACGAAGGCGAGTTGTGGTCTGTACGCGTTCCGATTTCCGATGAGCTCATGTTTACTGTGCTACGTATCAATCATGTGTAGATTGGGTAATTTTGTGGTTTCATCTTTCTGTTCTTTTCTACATTTCTTACAATCATACACCATTCTTCTTCTCGAACATCGAATTTCGATCCGAATTTCGATAAGTTGGCCTTCATTTTCGTGTCCATTACCGTGGTGTTATTCTGCTTTTAAATGTCAACTCTAAAGTTCATCTCTCAGTTTCAGAGCATGAGACCATCTGACCAGGAGACTAAGCAAAATGAAGTTCAGAGCGACATGAGTACAGGTGATCATCTCGATTCGGAAAGTGATGCTTCATTGATGCGAAAAAGACTTTCACCTTTCAGCTGCGCCTTATACGCATGAGCTCACGGCACTGTACACCTTACTGGTAATACTGTTTCTAGCCAGTATGGCGTATATCATCGTTAAGGCAGTGATTCACTCAAGAAAATCCGGATTTCTTTCCACGGTAAGATTTCCAGTGGTATTTTTGAGATACGGCGTGCTTGCGGAATAATTTATTTAATTTTGTGATGATTTTGGAACATAGATCGCATGTCAGTGTGGCGTGTCAGGTCCAGAAGTTGCCATATCTCCTCGTAAATTATTGATAGCAACCAGGGGCTTACCCAGCAGTGAATAAGGAAATACTTATAGTAATACTCAGATGTGGAAAACATCCTGAGTATCGCTGAAAAAAAGGAGAAGAGATGATGCATTTGCTGATGCGCCACGCATTCCCTTCCTATTAGGACCACACCTAGCATTGGAATGTGCATCCGGACTATACACTGACTCCTGGAAACCATTTATTTTAAAGGCGCAATATTTCTCACACGAGTTCGGTGCCAGTTGAGTGATTTGAAGGAAGGGAAGGCTTGGCTGCCATGGGCGAGTTTCGAGTGGAGCTTAAACTAAGAACGAACAACATGCACTGCACAATCTCCGAATTATATGCGTAGTAGGAGGTGCACTTGCTACTTCACCACCCAACCTAGCCTGGTGATATTTCTCGGGTTCCCGAAAGGAGGCCCGTCGCGCGGCGAGAAAGCAGAGACGCAGAGTCAGCGGACGAGTCGCAGCGCGCTGTGTGATGTGGGACGTACTGTAGTACATTCTATTAACTTGACGCGAAATCACTACAGTACGCGCTGCAACTCGTCCGCTGACCGCCTTCGTCGCTGCCTTCCTCGCCGCGCGACCCCTTCTATCGGATACCCAATATTTTTTCTCGGTAATGGGCACTTTAGGGCGGAAGTGGTGTAGTGACAAGTGGCACGCTTACCACGCGAGCGGTCCGGGGATCAAATCCTGGGTCGTGAGTCGCCCGGGCCAACCAAGCCTTCCATCCCTCCGGGGTCGGTTAATTGGTACCAGACTTGTCTGGGAGGATAAAAACACTGACTTGTCGCAAGTCATTGTATAGGCCACATCGCATTCAAACGCCACTAAGAATTCCTTACAATTTCGTCACTTTCCTCAAATTTTTCTAGATAACAACTCACCGAAACAGCCGACTTTCGTTGTTTTTGTGGTACCGCATATTGTCGCAAGAAGCGCGGTATCCGAATTCTCTCCTGAATTTCTAAGTGTTTTCTTCCTTCTCTTGTTGTTAGAGAACCTCTCAATGAAAATGTCAAGCGTGTAATTTCCGCAGCAGCTGTGACGTCAACCACAGTTTAGTTGCAAGAATCAAAACAGCTGCGCTCATTCGCATTTGAAAAACTCAACAGTTTAAACGGCTGTTTATTGTTTTGCACACGAATTGTTGCATGTTTTTCATATGTGATTACAAATTCTGCAGCGTAGTCGCACATATAATCAGTTATGTATGGGATTGGAGCATCATTAAACGACGGAGACCATTAAATTCAACTGAGGGCGGCTAAGCATAATTTTCTGACGAAGGAGTGATGCTCTTACAGCTGGACCCTTTAGGGTATGCAATCAAATCGGGTGTGGGTCAGGAGATCACCATTTCGGCGCCGCGTCTAAAGTTTTGGGACACTGCGCGTGCAA